AGAGATTCCTGTAGAATAGGCACAAAACAATAAAGTAGCTAGTTTGAACTCTACATGCATGGGTCAGTCTGATTGTTCACGCCTGACAATAGACTTGCTTTGAAGTTTGTGTTCATGCAACTGTTGTTCCTAATCCTAACAATTATCTGATTTAATTCAGGGCACCTGAGCTCCTCCTCCATCTATCCTGTCTGTCTGGCCCCTTATTTGTTGGTGACGTCCTGTTCAGACAATAGAGTTCGATTCTGGAGGTGTTCCCTAGAGACTACAGAAAATGGCCAAGGTGGGTCAAAAGAAAGCTATTCCTGGAAAAAATGGCCTTTGATGAACGATGAGCAAGAAGATGCCACCAGCACCGTTTGCATTGTGGGGAGACCAGTTGCAGTTAGCTGCTCTTACACTGGCCGCTTGGCCGTAGCCTACAAGCAACCCATTCAGCCGAGTGGAGTTGTTTCCAAAGAATTTTCTATGCACGTGTGTATCTTTGAGTGCGAGTCCACTGGAGGATCGGAATGGGTTTTGGAACAGACCATCCATCTGGATGACCTCGTTAAAGTCGGGAGCGTCCTGGATTCCAGGGTTAGCGTAGACAGCAACTTATTTGTCTACAGTAAATCCGAAATCTTTTTGAACAAAGACCGGAACCTTATCCCAAACATCAAGCACCTGGTCCACTTAGACTGGGTTTCCAAGGAAGATGGTTCACATATACTTACAGTCGGGGTTGGTGCAAATATATTCATGTACGGACGTGTCTCGGGAATTGTGACGGAACAAACCAGCAGCAAAGATGGTCTGGCGGTCATTACCTTACCGCTTGGCGGGAGCATCAAGCAAGGCATCAAGTCCAGATGGATCCTTCTGAGATCCATTGATTTGGTGTCTTCAGTCGATGGCACCCCGTCCTTGCCCGTTTCCCTTTCTTGGGTGAGAGATGGCATCCTGGTGGTGGGAATGGACTGTGAAATGCATGTCTATGCCCAGTGGAAGCACGTCCTAAAATCTAGGAATGCAGAAAGCAACGGTTTTCCCCGTGATGATTCCCACATTACAGACCCACTCAAGGCTAGCTTGCTAGCCAAAAAAGCCAGCATCATTGACGGCGCGGGCGTGGTGGATGATGTCTTCGGAACCCCCACCGTCATTCAAGATGGCGGGCTCTTCGAAGCAGCTTTCGTGCTTTCGCCAACTCTGCCCCAGTATCATCCCACCCAGCTTCTAGAGCTGATGGACTTGGGGAAAGTCCGCAGGGCGAAAGCTATTCTCTCCCACCTTGTAAAATGCATCGCAGGCGAAGTCGCTATCGTGAAAGACCCAGAATCGGCCGGTGGGGGCTCCAAGCGCCATCTCTCCCGCACCATCAGCGTGAGTGGTAGCACAGCAAAGGATGCGGTCACCACCGGGAAAGAAGGCACACGGGATTACACAGAAATCGATTCCATCCCACCATTACCGTTGTACGCCTTGCTGGCAGCGGACCAAGACTCCACCTACAAAATAGAGGAAGCTCCTAAACAAACCAAAGACCTGGAACATCATAGGAAGAGGAAGGCTGAGGATCAATACTCTGATCTTTTCCAGGTCCAGCAGGTCACAACCGATGACTTCATTGATTTTGAGCCAGAGAGAAGGGAACATAAATCCAAAGTGATTAACCTTTCCCAATACGGTCCAACGTACTTTGGCCAAGAACATGCCAGTGTCCTGTCAAGCCATTTAATGCACTCAAGTTTGCCTGGACTGACTCGGCTGGAGCAAATGTTCTTGGTAGCCCTAGCAGACACTGTGGCCACCACAAGTACTGAGCTGGATGAAAACCGAGACAAGCACTACTCAGGTAAATAAGTGGTCTAATCGGAATGGAATGGAATGGAATGGAATGGAATGGAATAGAATAGAATAGAATAGAATAGAATAGAATAGAATAGAGTAGAATAGAATAGAATAGAAT